GCTGAGACGGGATAGATTCGAAATACAACGTACCTTGCTACTTAACTGGTTAACGTAGCTGGCGACCACAACAAAGACGAAAGCATCATAACCTGTACCGTGGTAAATGCATGGTCTTTGACCTCAAACGTGCTTGTCGGGTCACAAAAGTAGATAGAATAAAAAGGGGAAGAGAGGAGATAGAAAAAGAATAGAAGAAAATAGAGGAAAAACTGAGAGAGGCGATAAAGGAAGCAGAAAGAGAACAAAATGATTAGAGTGCCGGAAGTTGTGCGTGAAAATAAAGAGGGAGGGAAATGAGAGATGGGAAAAAGGGCGGCAGAGGCGAAGAGGGAAAAGATGTATAGGAAATAGTAAATAGGGAAAGGAGGAGAAAGACAGGGATAAATGAAAGGATTGAAATGAAAGAATGGAGGGAATATTTTATGAAACTATTATAGGAGTAAAAGAAAGAGTGGTGAGAGAAGAGAAGGGGGAAAGGAAAAGAGAAGAGGAGGTAGAAAAGGGGAATTAAAAGAAGTATTGAAGAAATTGAAAGAAGAAAAAGCGGCAGGAATAGATGAGATACCGAACAAATTAAATTATGGAGGGGAGGAGCTAGAGAATTGGATATTTCTATACCATAATGCATTTTGAGCATTTCTGCAACAGGATATGGAGATGGAAGGGATGGCCAGAAGAATGGAAAGAAGGAATGATAGTGCTAATAGTCTAGAAAGGAGGAGGAAAAGAGGTGGAAGATTATAGAGGAGTTACGTTAATGTCATCTCTGTATAAAATATACATGATGGTGTTAGCAGAAAGATTAAGAAAGGAGATGAAAAAGGAATGCTACAGGGATAGACAGGATTTAGAAGAGGAATGGGAACGATTGATAATACATAGGTACTGAATCATGTAGTCAACATGCAAATAGAAAAAAAGGAGAGGAAAATGGTAATCATGTTCGTGGATTTGAGGGCAGCATTTGATTCAGTAGACAGAGGGATATTAGGGAAAGCGATGAGGAAGAGAGAGATAAGAAGAGGGTTGATAAGAAGAATAGAGGAGGTAATGAAGAAAACAAGATGCAGGATAAAGGTGGGAGGGGAATAAGGCAGGGATGCCCATTGAGTCTGATGCTGTTTAACATTGTAATAGCAGACATAGTATAAAGGAAGAGATGGGAAAAGTGAAATAGAGATGTGTAATAATTGGGGAAGAAAAGGTGTACACGTTAGCTTACGCGAATGATATGGTATTAATGGCAGAAAAGAAGATGAAATAAAAAGTACGATTGGGAGATTGGAAGACTATCTAGAAGAAAGAAGTTGGAGTTAAAAGCTAGCAAGATAATAAGATAATGAGATTTAGAAAAAAGGGGGGGTAAAGTTAAAGGAAAGAGAGTGGGGATGGAAAGGAAAAGGATGAAGGAGGTCAAGAACAAATAATATTAATAGAACGCTCTTATCGTAATAACAAGGATAGAAAGAATATTTTGCTGTGAAAAGGCTAATATTTAGCAATTCCCTAAGACAAGGAACAATCTCTAAATTGAGATTTAAATTCCTCTCCCCTTTACCCCCCCCCACCCCCTAAATTGATGTAGTCAAGGAATTCATATTTCTAGGATACAGGATGCAAAGGAATGGAGGGCAAGAAGTACATGTGAACAAGTGGAACAAGTATAGGGAATAGGTAAAAGAAGGTTTAGGAAAAATTGGAGGAAAATGTTGTGGCTACTCGATAAATTAGTGTGGACGGTGTTAAGTTATGGCGATGGAGAAAATGAGATGGAATAGAAAGGATGGAAGGCCTAATGGATAGGCAACCCAAAAGCGGATACCCAACTAATTAGATTGAAGATTTGATTAAGTAGGGTTAAGTTAGATTAAGTTAGGATTAAGAGATATGTAAAAAGTATTGCTTGTAAAGATGTCCTTTGTAAAGTTGTGTAAATTGTAATCCTAAGGGGATTAATAAAGTTACTATTACTACTACTTCTCATCCTCATTTTTTTCACATTCCCCATTTTCTCCGTCTTCCTTCCCATTTTTCTTCCTCTTCCTCCCTCCTTTTCTTCCCTCTCTTACTTCATCTTTCTATTCCTATTCACTTTTCCTCTCTCTCTCTCTCTCTCTCTCTCTCTCTCTCTCTTTCTCTCTCCCCCTCTCCCTTTCCTCTCTCTCTCTCTCTATTTCCTTTCTTTATCGGTTAAAACAATGATCAGCCAGTACGTAGGCCGGCGGCACAAAGACTGGGACGAGCGAATCCCCGCCTTACAGTTCGCCATCAACACCGCCCGACATGAGGCCACCGGATACACTCCGGCCTACATCCTGCACGGCCGAGAGCTCGCCCGCCCACATCCAGAGGATCGACCAGGAACCGCACCAGCACCAGAACCAAGCACCCGCCAGACCCAGTTGGAGGACGCCTACAAGGTGGTCCGAATCCACCTCGCCCGGGCCTTCCAGCGGCAAGAGAAGCCGTACAACCTACGGCGACGAGACTGGCGACCGCAGCTGGGCGAACGCGTCTGGAAACGCGACCGTCCCCTGTCCAGCAAGGCCAACGCGTTCAACGCCAAGCTGGCCCGAAGTACAGCGGACCAATGACTGTCCGGAGGATCGTATCCCCCGTAATCGTTGACCTCAAGGACGCCCGAAGACGATAGCACCGCCACATCCATGTGCAGGACCTCAAGGCGGCATCCGAGGAAGAGGACGAGGAAACCATCGGGGCGTAGGACAGGGCCAGCCGCCGTGATTCCTCCAGCGCCATACCGCCCACGCCACTCGGAAGTTCCGAGCCACCTCCCCTACTGGACGGTGGATAATACGGTTCGACCGTTTCGGCCGACCACGTACAATCCGCCGTCTAGAGAGGGGGTAGTGTAACGGCGTGGCCGTTACTAACGCCTCGCGGGCCGATCACCCGCCCGCCACTTGAGGCTATGGCGCCTAAGGCGCCCCTAAACACAAAAACATAAGCGATACACGGGTCACCCTACCCCAGGGGCGCCCCACTACAACCCCCAGAGGCGCCCCACTACGACGCCGGCGTTATCCCCACCACAGCCTCGATGTAGAGTGGGGGAACCGCCGGCAGGGTATATAAGCCGGCTCGACGGATGAGCCGGCACCAGTCCTGTTCCGGACCTCCTAGCCAGGCAACGGGCTTCTCGTTGTTACGCCGGGTTTCCCGGTTTCTGGCCTCCTACCTTTAGTATCGGGCAACGGGTTTCTCGTTGTTACGCCGGGTTTCCCGGTTTCCGGTCTCTTCCTGCTACACGCCGGGCAACGGGTTTCTCGTTGTTACGCCGGGTTTCCCGGTTTCCGTCTCTTCCTGCTATACACCGGGTGACGGGTTTCTCGTCATTACGCCGGGTTTCCCGGTTTCCGGTCTCTTCCTGCTACACGCCGGGCAACGGGTTTCTCGTTGTTACGCAGGGTTTCCCGGTTTCCGGTCTCTTCCTGCTACACGCCGGGCAACGGGTTTCTCGTTGTTACGCCGGGTTTCCCGGTTTCCGGTCTCTTCCTGCTACACGCCGGGCAACGGGTTTCTCGTTGTTACGCCGGGTTTCCCGGTTTCCGGTCTCTTCCTGCTACACGCCGGGCAACGGGTTTCTCGTTGTTACGCCGGGTTTCCCGGTTTCCGGTCTCTTCCTGCTACACGCCGGGCAACGGGTTTCTCGTTGTTACGCCGGGTTTCCCGGTTTCCGGTCTCTTCCTGCTATACACCGGGTGACGGGTTTCTCGTTGTTACGCCGGGTTTCCCGGTTTCCGGTTTCTTCCTGCTATAAGCTATACGCCTCCGTACACCATATCTCTAAGTTATACCGGGTAATTTGTAAATCTTTTCCGGACACCGCTACAGGCTACACGCCTCCGCATTTTGTTTATACCGGGTAGTCAATAAGTTTCTCTATTTAGGCTTTATGCCAACAAACATTTTGTTTATTTGTTTCTTTTTGAATAAACCAAAGCATTGTTAATAAGGAATAAGCGAGTCTGAATCTCCCCCTTCCTCCCGAATCCTGGAACCGGCGAGCCGATCCGCGGCGTCGGGAAAGGTGAACCGTTACATCATTAACAAAGTTATTTCATTATTCTCTTCACAACAATGTGAGTATAATACACTGAGTATGCATACGTCGATCACGCTTGTTATTCATGATCATAATTTCGAGTCTGAAATTCGAAGGAATTTTCGATAACCTTTGTTCGTCGTACACATAGAATGTTTTTTTGCACTTGTTTGTTCGTCGACTATGTTTGATTGAAGGACACTGCTAATCTGTATGCGCAAAATATCCTCCTACACAAATATTAAATTTCCTTTAATTGTTCTTACATACGATTTAATAATCGTCATACGAAAGAAAAACATGAGAGTAATTTCACTGACACGTGAACTTGCTTAAGTGTGAGACACTTATGTACGGTCACTGACATGTGAACCGAGAGCTGATTGAGAGTGATCATTAGGAACTATACAGTTCGTATTTAAACAATGAGTTGCGCCCTGTTTGATAGCGCGAGGCCTCGTTTTTATTGCCGGACTATTCGCGGCAATCTAATTGTATGCACAACACTCCGCGTAACTCAGTACTCGCACACAGTAATAGTCTTAGGTTTTGATTTATATCATTTAATCCGACTTGATTAATAATGATTTTCAATTGAAGAGAGCGCTTACTTATGTCGACTTTACTCTTGGAGAGACTTTCAACGACTGACTTCGCTTTTACTGCCGAAAAACCCAAAGGAATTTTGTTTTCGTGGCTTGCTACTTCTCACGTGTATTCTGCGTGATTGGTGAGAACAATAGCCATAAATACGCTTGCCGGGAGGTGCTGCCTCTCTGGCTTCATGCGAGTTATTATTGCTTCGATTATCGATGCTGTCACGAAATCGATTGAATCCGTAACATACCGCCCGCCTTGAAATTATAATTTCGAAACTTATTAATTATTGTATTGAACGCATCTTATATATACTGAGCCTCTAAACGTAGGTTTACAGTGCGATGGGACTCGAGACTTGTTCGCTGGACTTAACTTCTATCGGAAGTAAGCATATCTTCGTGATCGGTCGCTTATATTCTGAGCTTGCAGTCTTGATTGAGACAACTCGCGTTAATCCGTCAGAGCCTGGATGACATTGAATGACACGTCCTAATTCCCATTTGCATGGAGGGAGTAACGGATTCTGAATTAAAACCAACGAACCAATTTGAATTGACGGTTTTTCTTTACGCCATTTTGTTTTTTGTTGAAGGGTGTTAATGTAATCGGTTTGCCACAACCTCCAAAAGCGTTCCGTTATCTGCCGTAATAACTGCCATCGCGACAATCTGTTTTCATTAAGGTGCAGAATGGAAGGCTCGGGATTGGTAGTGAGTGCTGAGCCGATGAAAAAATGACCTGGAGTGAGAATTTCGTAATCTTCCAATGAATCAGTGAGTGGAGAGAGAGGCCTGGAGTTTAAGCAAGCTTCAATTCGACATAGTAGAGTTGTGAACTCCTCGAAAGTTAAAGTATGTGACCCTAACACGCAACGAAGATGATATTTGACGCTTTTGACACCAGCTTCCCAGAGCCCTCCGAAATGGGGCGCGTGAGGGGGAATGAATTTCCAATGTATATTGTCTGAAGCGATAAGATTAAGAAAATTGGAATCGCGTTGCGCATCTCGAAAGGCTTGTGCTAATTCTCGATCGGCTCCTGTGAAAGTGGTGCCATTGTCCGAATACATGACTTCGGGTAAACCTCTCCTGGCGCAAAATCGTTGAAATGCATTCAGAAAGGTGGAGGTGGAATACTCGCTGACTAGCTCCAAGTGAATAGCACGAGTTGCTAGACAAATAAAAATTGCTATATAAGATTTTCGAGAGGCGATTCCTCGACCAGCTGATGCGCGTGTGAGTACGGGGCCAGCGTAATCGACACCGCTGTGCGAGAATGCCCGAGTGGGTGCTGATACGCGACTATTGGGAAGTTGGCCCATCATTTGATTAGCTACTTGAGCCTTCTCCCGTGTGCATTTAACGCACTTGTAAATAATTGATTTGACTAAACTTCGAGCTTTGATAATCCAATACTGTTGTCGTAATTTTGAGAGTGTAGCTTGAATGCCGGTATGAAGAGAAACGATATGAGTATATGAAATAATCATAGTAGAAATTGGATGGTCGGCTAACAAGAGTGGATGCTTGGATTCAAATGATAATTGTGAATGTTCAAGTCGTCCACCGACTCGTATTAAACCGGTGGAGTCAAGAAATGGAGTTAATGAATAGATACGAGATTTTATAGATACTGCTTGATTAAGTTTTAATTTGTGAAGTTCGCTCTCGAACACGGCAGCTTGAGCTGTTTGTATCCAAAAATTCCGAGCTCGATTGAATTCGGATGCTGTGAGAGCGTGAGAATTGAGATGATTGTCATGCTTTTCTTGTCGCCTTGTTCGGCAATTATCTATAAATCGGTAAACATATGCAGTGACGCGCACTAATTTCGGCCACCAAGAATAGCGGGAAGCTAAGTCCCACAAATCAGGAGCGTTGACTTGATGAATTTTGCAAGCTTTTAATTCTAATTGAGTTTCTTGTGAGGTTACTTTGATAGACTTAGGCCAGTCGTTTGCGGGGAGACTTAACCAGGAGGGCCCATGCCACCAAAGTCGAAGGGAATGTAATTCGGAACCGAGTAATCCGCGCGAAGCGCAATCGGCGGGATTATCGGTTGTGCTTACGTGATGCCATGCACCGTCGGGTAATTGTGTTTGGATTTCTGACACCCGATGAGAAATGAAAGTTTTCCAGGTTGAAGGGTGTTTGTTCAACCAAGCAAGAACTACGGTGGAATCTGTCCAACAATGAATCGGAACGTTCGTTAAATGAAGAGATTCTTTTATGAAATTAATCAAACAAACTAATATGACTGCCGCTGAGAGTTCAAGACGAGGGACGCTCATTAGTTTAATGGGAGCGACTTTAGATCGTCCGGCAAGAAGTGAGACTTTGATTTGTCCTGAACGCGAGGTTATTCTTAGAAAGACTACTGCGGCGAAAGCTACGGTTGATGCATCAGCAAATCCATGTAATTCTACACTCGCTGTGTCTGAATCACGGTTTATCCATCTACCCAATTTGATATCTGTGATGTGAGAAAGAGAATCGTAAATTAATTTCCAATGTGACCGAATTTCTTTAGGAATGGGGTCATCCCAACCTATCTTTTGTCGCCACAAATGTTGCATAACTAACTTTGCCTTAAGAACGACGGGTGTAACCCATCCGAGAGGATCATATAACTTAGCTATTGTTGAAAGTATCGTTCGCTTTGTGATAGGAAAGGTATTAGGAAGGTTGACTTGGAATTGAAAACTGTCATGCGAGGGATTCCAAGAGATGCCGAGTACCTTCAAGTTATCGTCGGATTCGAGTCTTCGAGCAAGCTAGACCGTGATCAGCAGATAGGATATCTGTTAACAACTCCGATTGGTTACTTGCCCACTTTCGAAGGGTGAAACCGCCGCGGTTTAATAATTCGCGAAGTTGATTACGAATTTGTCTTAGCTGCAAATGTCATTTGCTCCGAATAGTACGTCGTCAACGTAGATGTTATCGCGCAAAATGGCGGAAGCCAACGGAAAAGAAGGACCTTCGTCTTCATTCAATTGATTAATTACTCGGAGCGCAAGGAATGGAGCTGAAGCGGTACCGTAAGTGACTGTAAGTAATTGATATTCTTGAATGTTTGAGTTACTGTCGATCCACAATATGCGCTGATAGTCTCGGTCTCTCGGATCGACGAGAATTTGCCTGTACATTTTGGCTAGATCCGCGGAATAGACGAATTTATATTGTCGCCAACGCAATATAACGGCCTGTAAATCCGTTTGCAACTTAGGGCCTTTAAGCATGTGGTCGTTGAGAGAAGTTCCGTTGGTCGTCTTGCAAGACGCGTCGAAGACAACCCTTAAACGAGTAGTGGAGCTTGCCTCTCGGATAACTGGATGATGCGGGATGTACACGACTTGTGAGTGATGAGTTTCTACGGGAGAAACGGGTTGCATATGCCCTAGATCTTCGTAGTCGCGCATGAATTCGCAATACTCTGAAGTAATAGAGGGTTGACTTTTAAGTTTGTGAATCAGTGAAGAAAGTCGACGCGCCGCTATTTCTCGGGATTCGCCTATTTTTAATTGGAAGGTTTTCGCGAAAAAGAAGACGCACAATATATTTTCCATCTGCTGTTCTCGAGTGAGTTCGCTGGAAGTGCTCTTCACAGCTCTTATCCTCGGGAGGGAGTTGTCTAAATTGAGGCGCTTCTTCGCTCTCCCAAATTTACGTAATTGATATTCTAACGAACAATGATGAGCGACCACTTGATATCTTTGATTTGACCTAGAAACTCGTGAACCTTGATTTTTGTTTGACGCGAGCGATGAAATAAAGGTTGAACCAACTACGCAAGTGTTCTGTTCGATATGACTTGGAACAGATGTGGTTCCTGACAAGATCCACCCAAAATGTGATTGTATGGCGCCTGGTTGCCCGACTGGTCCATTCTGCACATTAATGAGTACTTGATTGTATAAGTCAGCTCCGATTATGAGGTCTATCTGCGTTGATCCGGTAGGATCATCATCGGCTAATTTGAGATTCGAAATGTGTTTCCACTCATGCAAATTCGAAACGCTTCTGGGAGCATATCTTGTCAATGATTTCATAATGTAGGCGACGGTAGTAAAAATTGGTTCGGGTTTATCACGAGGCGTAATGTAAATTAATGCTGCGGAGCGACAAATTCCGGTGTTTACGCAGCTGATTCCCGTTGTGGACGTAAACGTTCGTATACGCGTTAGACGTAAATTTTGTGCAACTCGCTCTGAAATAAAAGTAAGCTCCGATCCACCGTCAAGCAGGGCTCTGACGGTCAACGAACGGCCTGAAGGCGCACGCAAGTTTACCTTGGCAGTTGATAAGACTACCGGAGTCGGAGCGGTAGTCAATGTAATGGATGTAAGCGCTGCCACGCTCGCCGCATTTTCGTTCTCGTTATGCGCATTTGATACGTTAGAATTGGTTTGTCGCAAGGAGTCCGATTCCATATGAATCATCGTATGATGTTTTTTACTACAAAAACGACACGTAAATTTGCTTTGACAATCATTTACCGAGTGATTTTTGCTCAGACAATTGAAGCAACGTCGGAATTTTTTCACTAACTCGCGTCGCTGATGAGGACTCTTTGAAACAAACTGTGGACATTTAGAGAAAATATGCTGTTGCTTGCACATCGAACATGACAATTCAAATGACGCAGTGGCTGTTGCGCTCGTCACTTTCGAATGTAACTTCGATTTATCGCTTTCATAAGAATGAAGCTCTTCAAGAGCGAGAGCGCGCGATGATAGAAAACGTGTTAATTCTTTATAAGTTGGGGGATCATCGCTATCGCTCGTTTTGAGCTTCCACGCTCTACGCGTCGCAGAATCGAACTTTTGTGATATAAAGTAAACTAGCAAATCACTAACTATATCGTCCGAAGACCGATCGAGACGGTTTAACGTAGAAATTACTTGCTCGGTTTTGTCGCGCAATGCGTGGAGCTCGACAGCTGACTCGCGCGTCATTTTAGGAAGATGATATAAAGTAGATAAATGAGTCTCAATTAGTCTGCGTTTATTCTCAAATCTGACTGTTAATGCTTTCCATGCTACTTGAAAGTTATCTGCAATAACTTTAATGCCGGCTATCGCGTCGCGAGCACTGCCGGTGAGACTCGATACTAAAAAATGCATTTTACTAAATTCTGAAAGGTCTCGATTATCGATAATTAGCGCTTGAAATCGATCTAGAAACGTTTCCCACTCGTCGGATTTTCCGGAAAACGGAGGTAGTTTAATTGGTGGAAGATGCTTTAACGAAAAAGACGCGGGTTCGCTTCGAGAAAATGTAGTGTCGGTTGACGAATCGTGACTTACGACCGGAGCTACTTCCTCGAGGCACTCGTTCATGAAGTCCTTGGCTGTCTGATAAATATCTTCATGAGCGGCAAATTGATCATCTTTGAAGTAGTCTAATTCATCTCGGTCTTCTTCGGGAACGAGTTGAATAAGAATCGCGTGATTGCGCACGCACTGATTCCACGTTTCTTGCAAACTCGCTAATCTTGAGCGAATTTTTGCGGGCGTCCAGTTTGAACGACCGAGTTTTTTGAAATTAGCGAGAGATCGCCCTATCGAGTGGAATGCAGTTTGTTAATTCGCAAATGCCGATTCCATCTCGACACTAAAATTCACTGACTGTTATTGAACTGCTATAGATGGTATCACGTGGGAGGTCACTATCGCCGATAAAAGTAAAATTGAATCGACATGTACTGGATTATCACTTAGACTGTCAATAGAGTTTGTTTTCGAAACACTCAATGAACACTTTGATTCGCTGCCACTCCTTCATCCGGCTCGAAGGACCAAAAATGTTTCAATGTGAACGAGATATTTAAACTATCTTGATGTAGGGTGGACGCGCTCCGAATATGGTGCGCGAAGGAAATGGCAAGTTAGGCCAGTGCCGAATCAAAAAAAAAATTCATTGAACATTCAAGTTTAACACATTAACAAAAGTATTTATTACTTTACATAGCACACGTTAAACAAAAAAATGAAATCATTGTAACGGCGTGGCCGTTACTAACGCCTCGCGGGCCGATCAACCGCCCGCCACTTGAGGCTATGGCGCCTAAGGCGCCCCTAAACACAAAAACATAAGCGATACACGGGTCACCCTACCCCAGGGGCGCCCCACTACAACCCCCAGAGGCGCCCCACTACGACGCCGGCGTTATCCCCACCACAGCCTCGATGTAGAGTGGGGGAACCGCCGGCAGGGTATATAAGCCGGCTCGACGGATGAGCCGGCACCAGTCCTGTTCCGGACCTCCTAGCCAGGCAACGGGCTTTTCGTTGTTACGCCGGGTTTCCCGGTTTCTGGCCTCCTACCTTTAGTATCGGGCAACGGGTTTCTCGTTGTTACGCCGGGTTTCCCGGTTTCCGGTCTCTTCCTGCTACACGCCGGGCAACGGGTTTCTCGTTGTTACGCCGGGTTTCCCGGTTTCCGGTCTCTTCCTGCTATACACCGGGTGACGGGTTTCTCGTCATTACGCCGGGTTTCCCGGTTTCCGGTCTCTTCCTGCTACACGCCGGGCAACGGGTTTCTCGTTGTTACGCCGGGTTTCCCGGTTTCCGGTCTCTTCCTGCTACACGCCGGGCAACGGGTTTCTCGTTGTTACGCCGGGTTTCCCGGTTTCCGGTCTCTTCCTGCTACACGCCGGGCAACGGGTTTCTCGTTGTTACGCCGGGTTTCCCGGTTTCCGGTCTCTTCCTGCTACACGCCGGGCAACGGGTTTCTCGTTGTTACGCCGGGTTTCCCGGTTTCCGGTCTCTTCCTGCTACACGCCGGGCAACGGGTTTCTCGTTGTTACGCCGGGTTTCCCGGTTTCCGGTCTCTTTCTGCTATACACCGGGTGACGGGTTTCTCGTTGTTACGCCGGGTTTCCCGGTTTCCGATTTCTTCCTGCTATAAGCTATACGCCTCCGTACACCATATCTCTAAGTTATACCGGGTAATTTGTAAATCTTTTCCGGACACCGCTACAGGCTACACGCCTCCGCATTTTGTTTATACCGGGTAGTCAATAAGTTTCTCTATTTAGGCTTTATGCCAACAAACATTTTGTTTATTTGTTTCTTTTTGAATAAACCAAAGCATTGTTAATAAGGAATAAGCGAATCTGAATCTCCCCCTTCCTCCCGAATCCTGGAACCGGCGAGCCGATCCGCGGCGTCGGGAAAGGTGAACCGTTACATGGCGCCCGAACAGGGACCTGCCCAGTGGAGATCCCGACTCGCTTAAGCCTATCCAGATGCCCGCGTGGGTAAATCAATTATCAAAATCCGAAGCTATTGCCTTGGCCAAAAGACACGGAATCGATAGCCAAGGAACTTTAGACGAGGTCCGCCGACGCCTCCGCCGATTTGTCGGGCAAAACCCCGCGCTATTTCGAACTCACCTACCTGTGCCCACTATTAACGTCGAAATGGCCACCGGAAGCCCAACCAAAGAAGAAGAAGCTACCACCCCGACTCCTGTTGAACCGGCCAGGATCATGGATCAGATCCGAAAATGGAGGTGCCACTTCGAGGGCAAGGACCCCCTGGCATTCCTCGAGCGTACGGAAGAGCTGTGCCTGGGCTACGGCTACACCGACGCCCAGATGCTGTTAGGGCTACCCGAACTCTTACGGGGAGACGCCCTGCTGTGGTATCGCAACATCCGCGATACCATAGCCAGCTGGGCCGACTTTCGCCAAGCTGTCCGCCAGCAATACCTGCCAAGCGGGTATGAGAGACAGATGAAAAGGACGATCCAGGGACGTCAACAACGCCCTAAAGAGTCCTTCCAAAAGTACGCCACCGAGGTCCTGACCATGATGCGGCGCGCCGGGGGATATTCACCCCTAGACCAACTGGAACAGCTCTACGAAAACATGGATCCGGAGTACCAATTGTACATCCGTCGGGCGGACGTGCTCAGCGTCGGGGATCTAAGCATCCGAGCCACCGAATACGAAGAGGCCGACCGCCGGAGACAGGAACGACGAAGGGACGTGCCGCAAAGCCACACCCCGGTCGTAGCTTCCGCGGTCTACAGTCGGGAGGAATGTTGCTGGAGGTGCAAGCAACGAGGACACACACGCCTACACTGCCAGCGACCTCCAAAGAAATTCTGCTCGAGATGTGGCAAGGACGGGGTCCTCACCCGTGACTGTCACCCCCCGACGGGAAACGGGGTGCGGGCCGGAGACGTCGCGGCCGTCGTCCAGCCGACTTGGCCTAAAATACAACCCGAGACCGCACCTCCGGATCCAGATCGCCGGACAACATTTGTGGGGCCTTCTCGATTCCGGCTCAGAGATCTCATTTGTAAACGCTGAAACGGCCCGCCGAATCAACCGCACACCGTCTAGCCCAGATCTCAAGGCAGCCCAGATACGCCTGGCCGACGGGACCCAAGTCCCCATTGCCGAGACCATCGAGGCAACGGTCAGGTTACGAGGAAAATCGTACCGCCACCGTTTCTCCGTACTACCACAACTAGACAACGCCGTACTAATAGGCATAGACCTCTGGGCGAAATTAGGAGTCGAGCTGCGCCCGCCGCCCAGACCTGTCACCGAGACAACAACCAAAGATGGAATCGCGACAGCCAGTATCAGCCCAGGAACTACTAGCGAGGCGCTAAGGCTACAGGCCTTTCTAAATAACGAACTTCCAAAATTCGAATCGGTCCGCGGCCCGACCGACAAAGCCACGCACCAAATTCGGCTAAAACCGGGGCCGCCCATTAAACAACGATATCGGCCCCGTAATCCGGCCATGCAGGCCGTGATCGACCAAGAGGTCCAAAAGATGGAAGCCGAAGGAGTCATCGAGCCCTCCACCAGCGCCTGGAGCTCTCCGATAGTGCTGGCAAAGAAGAAAGACGGGACCTACCGATTTTGTATAGACTTCCGCCGATTAAACGCGGCCTCCGAGAAAGATGCATACCCGCTGCCTCACATTGCCGCCACCTTGGATAAGCTACGAGGCGCACACTACTTGTCCACGTTGGACCTACGCAGCGGGTATTGGCAAGTGCCACTAACTCTGGAGAGCCGCCCCGCGACCGCCTTCACGGTGCCAGGGAGAGGGCTGATGCAGTTCCGCGTCATGCCATTCGGACTGCATTCAGCACCGGCCACCTTCCAACGGCTGCTCGACACCGTGCTAGGACCCGAGTTAGAACCACACGTCCTCGTCTACTTGGACGACATAGTTGTCGCATCCCGTACTTTCGAGGAGCACCTAGGCCACTTGACCGAAGTCTTTCGCCGCCTCCGTGACGCCCGACTCCGCCTCAACCCAGAAAAGTGTCACTTCTGCCGGCCAAGTCTCCGGTACCTCGGACACGTTATCGATCGGCACGGAATCCGGACGGACCCAGAGAAAGTGCGAGCCATTACCGATTGGCCTGCCCCCACGACCCTCCGCAGGGTTCGGCAATTTCTGGGGGTAGCGTCATGGTACCGCCGATTCATCGCTGACTTCTCCACTATCGCCGCCCCTCTCACTCGACTCACTAAAAAGAGAGCGCGCTGGACCTGGGCAAAAGAAGAAGAAACCGCGTTCCGGAAACTAAAACAGGCCTTAACCACCGCACCTGTCCTCGCCTGTCCAGATTTTGCGCGACCATTTCTACTACAAACCGACGCCAGCGCCCACGGGTTAGGGGCCGTATTAACCCAACACCTCGGCGAAGGAGAGCGGGTTATCGCGTACGCCAGCCGGACCCTCAACGCAGCCGAGAAGAATTATAGCGCTACCGAACTAGAGTGCTTGGCTGTCGTGTGGGGTATACGCCGGATGCGGGATTACCTCGAGGGCTACCGATTCACCGTCGTGACCGACCACCAAGCTTTAAAGTGGTTACAACACATCGAGGCCCCTACCGGACGACTAGCCCGCTGGATGTTCGAATTACAACAACATGATTTCGACATCCAGTACCGGCGCGGGACACTTAACCAGGTGGCAGATGCTCTCTCCCGCCTCCCGGAAGCTTTGGCGGTGACCCAGCCGAAATGCCGGTGGTACCACCGGAAACTAGCCGAAGTACGGAGACATCCGACCGATCACCCGGACTATAAAATCCAGGATCAACGATTGTACAGGCATATACTCCACGATCTGGACTTCCGGGAAACACCAGCCGAAGAGCAATGGAAGCAGTGCGTGCCTACAGACCAACGACCCGCCCTGCTTCAGCGAATGCACGACGACCCGGCCGCCGGGCACCTGGGCATTTCCAAAACATTGGCTCGGGTGGCCCAGCTATATTACTGGCCCGGCATGTTTCGGGAGATTGCCCGGTACGTCCGAGGGTGCGCTAATTGTGCGCGGCACAAGGCCAGTCAACGACGACCGGCTGGACGGATGATGGCCACCCCCGTCCGCGCACCATGGGAACAAGCCGCCGTAGACCTGATCGGTCCCCTGCCTCGATCCACTAGCGGCCATACCTGGCTATTAACCATACAAGACCGGTTCAGTAAGTGGATCGAGATGGTCCCGCTTAGAAAAGCCACCGCCGTAGCCGTAGCCCGAGCACTCACCGACCGCCTGATATACCGGCACG